GGAAGTCCAGCTCCTCGGCAAGATCCGCCGTCAGCTGGCCCTCCGTCGGCTCGCCCATCTGGCCACTGACGAGCTGCTCCACTGTCCTTCTGGTGGCCTCCTTACCTTTCCTTTGGATCGCTTCGATGAGCCTCTCCGCCGCCAGCACTTCTTCCGCCTTCGCCTCCGCGCGAGCCGCCGCCTTTGCCGCTTTCTCGTCTGCGGCCATCTGCTCGCGGTAGGCGTCTTCGAACTGCCTGTTCGCCACGTCCAACGCCCTTGCTGCCGCCGCTGGCCTCGCCCCTTTGGACGGCGTGGCCTTGGGCGGGTTGGCCTCCTGCAGCGCTGCGGCTGCGCCTGCGATCCGCTGGCGCATCTGCTCGCCGTCGGCCAACTCCATGCTGCCGATTTCGCTGGTCACCAGCTGCAGCGCTCCGGCGAGCTCCTCCTCATTTTTTGCCCTTCTCATGGGCACCTCCGGGCTCCAGCTGCCTTCGTCGGTCTTGCTCGTACTGGGCCCCCATTGGCGGGCCTTGCACGCCGCGCTGGGGCCCAGGTGGTTGGCCTTCCCGCTCCAGGCAGCTTCTGCCCGCATCTGCAGGTGTAGCACAACGCCTCCAGGCGCTCGCTCCACCGCCACTCGCTGCAGCTGCGGCAGACCACATATGAGCTTCCTCCTTCTTCGCTACTTGCCCTGCCGCTGCCTGCCGCCCTGCCGTGGTGCGCGTTGAGGCGATCGGCGTCCTGCAGGTACCTCAGCCCCCTCCTCGCTTCCGCTCGCGGGCGCCGCTCCCTGCGGTGCCAGGCGGGTGAGCGCGAGCGCTCTCGGCGCCCCTGCGTGGGGCTTGGGCCCATGGTTCGGCGGGCGCGCGCCCGCCGCGGGCAAAATGCCTGCCTCGCGCCGCGCTGCCATGCCACCTGCGAGGAGGAGGAGGAGGAGGAGGAGGAGGAGGAGGAGGAGGAGAAGGGGGACGGGGAGAAGGAGGAGGGCGAGGGGGGGGAGGAGGAGGAGGAGGAGGAGGAGGAGAAAGGGAGGAGGAGGGAAGCCCTCTTGGGGCCTCTTGGGGCGCTCTTGGGGCTTTTTTTTCGGGGCCTCTTGGGAGCCCTGGAGCGATTCTTCGAGCCGTCTTGGAGGCGACCGGTCGAAAGAGGGAGGGCACTCGATTTCCATCCCCTTTGGAAGCCACGATCCTCCTGAGGTTTGTCAAAAATTGGCCCTCGAAGGGGCCACACAAGGACCTCCTCCAAAAAACCTCAGGGAGGGGAGGGGGAATATTCCCCTTCCCGAAAAGGAAAGGTTGTGGATGAGGAAAGATACCTTCGTTAGACCACATGTCGCCCAAAGGGCTGGTGGGATTCTGGAGGAAACGTGAGCCCCAGGGAAAGCAAAACCCCCCACCTCCTCGAGGGTTCGGATCAATACATTTGGCGGCAACCCTAAACATCAAGATTGCTGTGTTGCGGGGTTGATTCTCGGGCCCAGAAGCTGTCAATTCTGCACAAAGAAGCGGGTCGAGAACACGACAACGCCCCCCTGCCCTCTATGCCCACCCCAAGGCCGAACCGCGCACACCAGATCAGAAGGCGTGAGACGGTTTCGCCTGCGGTCGAATTCGCTGGGGTCGGTTTCGCCGTGGTCGGTTTCGCCAGCGGTCGGGTTCACGAGTGGCTGGCTCTGCCTGTTGTTGGCTGCGTTGGTGGTGTTCGCCCTGCTGCCTGGCGTCGCCGCTGTCTTCGTCGATGTCAGCGACGCTTCCGTCGTCTCCCGTGCCCGTCGTCTGATCGCCGTCGCCATCGTCATTTTGCGGTGCGAACGCCGCAGCACGACGGACCCAAAGGGGCGGGTCGGACGCTCGCGGGCGGGTCTGGCGGACGGGGCATGTAAGCGCACGGGCGGGCTTGCTAGCAGTCGACCCTGCGGGTCTTGACGGGCTGGTCGGGCGGGCACAACACGAGCAGGTAGAACGGGCTGGCGAACGCTCACGGGCGGGTCGGACTGGCGGGCCAGAGCCTGACGGGCGGGCCAGACGGGCGTACACGAATGGGCGGGTCGGGGGGGGGGGCGGGGGGCCCTCGCGGGCGGGTCGGGTTGGCGGGACATCAAACGGGCGTTTTTGCCAGCAAATGCAATTGCGCATCTTGACAGACGGGTCAGAAGGAGGCCGACCACGACGACGAATGACTACCACGACGACCAACGGCGACAACGACGATGGCGAACCGTCGACGGCAAAGCAGCTCGCGACGACGAACGAACGCGGGTAAACACGACGTCGAACGACGACCGCGAAAGCGACCACGAGCGAAACCGACCGTGGTCGGTTCCAGCTGGGAGAAACCGACTGGGCGAAACCGACCTCGGCGAAGCCGATTGGGCGAAACCCGCCTGGGCGAAACCGGCTGGGCGCAACCGACCGCGGGCGAAACCGAGCGGCCCCGATCAACATCAGGAAGAGCATACCCTGACTTTCCATGGCCCATCCTCGCAAATTTCTCGAGCTGCGTCCGGCCATGGCCCCGAGGGCGCTCCTCGGGGAACAGACAGAATCTGAAACGTCCCAAAATCTTTCCTCGATCCTCTATCCTGGACGCTCCGCCTCCAAGTCATGCCAAGTCGTACCACACATCCGCTCAACGTTGCCCTCTACACCTGGCGGCCCCCTCCACCTGGCGGCTGGCTTGGTTTTCTATCGCATCTTGTCCGCGCACCTTGTCGTCGCGGCGGCGACGCAATCGCGGGCGTTCAGGGTTGACAGGGCGCAGGCGACATGAGCCAGTCCAACCCTGGACAATTTCCACTGTCGGATGGCGGAGATCGCTCCATGTTGAACGATCTACGTGGTGTGTGGACGTGGATATGTGTGTGTGTGTGCGGGTGTCGCACGACAGGAGACAGGAACCAGCCAATCTCAAGTGTCCCCGGGAATCCCAGTGAGTCCTATCAATGTCCAGGCGTTTGCGGCGTTTCCCGCCGCGGTAGCAGCCAGCACTCTTTGTGGCGAAGCTTCGAGCACCAAGGGTAGTCACGTGTGAAGCCTGTCATGTCCACGTGTCGAGGAGCTCTCAAGGAGTTATTTGGGCCGTTTTGGGGCTGTCCATGGCTCCTGTGGGACAGTGCTTGGAGTCCCTTGGGGCCATCTTGGGGTCATTTTGGACCGTCTCGGGGCTCTCTTGGTCTCCTGCGGGGTCCCTTGGTGCCGTTGTCCCTCTGGATGCCCTCTCGGGCCAGCTCATCCGTCCTGGGGCGCGATCGAAGAGGGCCTCTTCGTCTAGGGGCGCGGTCGAGGAGAGTGGGAAGGGAACTGACTCGTATTAACATACACGGAGCATCAATGTAAATGGTATTTCGATGGGGAGTCTGCGGGTTTTTTGGATGCCTCGTGGGATATGTTCGGCAGTTTGTGGGACCTGTGTGGGGCATCTTGGGGCAATGTTGGCTTTGGCGGCCACGGTGGCCATCCATGCTGAAGACCATGTTGTCATGGAGGCAAATTTGCGGCCTTTGTGGCTTTTTCTGTGCTGCCTTGAAAGCGTTCACAGAGGCTTCCAGAGCCCCAGGGAGGCCTCGGCGCGGCCCAGGCAGTCCCGGGAGGGGCGGGGAAGGGGGCGAGACATGCAGACGCTCGTGAGTGGGAGGGGGTGGGCCCTTAGAAGATTACAGAAACGCTTCCAGGCAGCACTTGACATTCTATCACGCCTCATCGTGCCAGTGGGCACGATGGCGATTCACTTATAGCGCCAGGGGTCGTAGCCCTGGGAGAGCAGAGTTACTGCTACATGTTCCTATCTACCCCTCCTCCTCCTCCCTCCACCTCCGAGGTCTCCAGGGGACCCTGGAGTTCTCCTGAGGCCTCTGGTTCCTGACTGCAGTGTTTTAATTGTATCATCGACCCTCGGAGGAACTAACCGAGAACTTGGGCGACCCTCCTTATAACCTGTTTGTATCCCTAGCCCTCCTAGAGAGCCTATGTATTGCTTGCCGTCCTCACCTGGGAAGCGGAACTGACCCGAGACCCTCGCGCTGCAACTAGGCAGAGCCCCCAGGATGTCTCTGAAACAGTCAGAACCGTTTTTCCCAACATAACCTTGGGAGGTCTTTAGTGTTGACCCCCCACCTCTTCTCTCGGCGGTGAATGGGACGGGTACTGAAAGCTTCTCGTCGCGGCTGAGATTATGTTCCCTCTGGTGTTGGGCGGGCCGGATAATGTTGGGGGCTCTTTCTCCGCAGGAATGGGCCCGTTGGGCTACCCTGCGCGACCGAGAAATTTTGAGCACGTTTGTAAGAGGAGTGCAATACAGATCGGCACATCTTTCTTCTGAGGTCTTTCTGAGGATGGAGCTTCTAAGGATGGAGTTTCTGAGGGTCCTCGTGGGGCCTGAGCTTCAACTATCCTTCTCAGGATGGAGCTTCTTAGGATCAAGTTCTGAGGATCAAGTTTCTGAGCTAAGATTCTCTGTGAGAGCGCTCCTGAGGCATATGTATTAGTAGTCGTCGCAATCGTAGTCGCAATCGTAGTCTCAGTTGTCGGCGTCGTTGTTGCGCGGCGGGTGCCGCGGCGCGGGGAATTTTTTGGAGGGCATCAGTCAACGAATAAGGCCGCCAGAAAATGATTAAACACCTGTATTTGTTTGAGGGGGGGTCGAAAGGCTTTAGAGGTTAAGTAAACAGCAACATGTGTCCCAGATCCTCGTATGCTCCCGGGTCGGGATGTCTGAGCTTTAGAGCTTGGGATGCAGGGCTATCTTTCTCCAATCTGATTGCGCGAGAGTGCGAACTTAGGGAACTTACATGCCACCGGAACCATCGCACAGACCCTCCCCGAATCCCTATTCCGATCCGCTCACCCTATGTATTGATTCCTACCCTGCCTATGCCTCATGAAGCGTGCTCTGATCAGGATTTCGAGGCGGCTACAACCCTTGCGACTAGTGCCCTGCCCGAGGCCCAGCAGAGGAGGAACAGGAGAAGGACGTCCCAAAGGAAGAGGACCATGTCCCCCACCCGCCTTCTTCCCTCTGAGGCGGAGTGGACGCGGCTCGGCTTGCCCCTGAAGCTAGAGCGGGTGTTGCGCGCGTACATCTCACATGATGGCAAATGACGGGGCCGAGCTCGCGCCATCCTGTGATAATCCATCCGTCCTTCCTCCATCCTCCTACCCAGCCGCCCCGTTTTCCTCCTCCCCCCTCCTCTTCCACTTCCTCTTGCTCCCCCCCTCTTTCCCCTCCCTCCTCCCCCCTTCCCCCTGCCTCGCTCATCTCGCCCGCTTTCACTCCTGCCGTCCCCCCCCTCCTCCCGTCACCCTTTCCCCCTTCCCCCCCTCCCTCCTTCCCGGTCCTCGGCTGGGCGGCCTCCAGCAGAGGGGCTCGCCCGCGGCGGCCGCGGGGAGCAGAGGGGGGGGGGGGGCAGGGGAAAGATCGGAGCAGTGGAGGAAGAGGGGAGATGTGGAAGAGGACAGGGTGTGCTTTGCCATCAACGGCGAAATGCAGCCCACATGCTCCACAAGTGGGGGATGGAAGCCCGCAAGGGGTAACAAAAACAACGCAAGAGCATTAGTCAGGACAGATGCTAGACACAAATCAGCCTCGACTCGACTGAGGAAGAGGACGAGGTGTAGGGGGAGGTGGTGGAGGAGGGGGAGAAGGACGACGACCACAACGAGAAGGATGAAGAGGAGGGGGAGGATGAGGCGGAGACGAGAGGACGAGACCGAAGAAGATCGAGGAAGATCCAAGAAGATCGAGGACGAGGAGGATGCGGTTCACCAGCTTGCGTCGCACCGCCGACCCCATGGGAGCCCTGGGTGCCCCTTGCCTGGGGGACGTTGGAGCGTCTTTTGTCGCCGTACGTACATCTATTTTGGCGATGTCTTGGAGGTGTTGGAGCCCGCGGCCCGCTCAAGTTTTTGTTTTGGTCTCATGAGCAGTCTTGGGTCTTGGGGGCCTTGCGGCCATCTTGGGTCTTCTTGGGCAGCTTCGGGGCTCTGTTTGTATTGTAGACACCCTGACGATCGAAAACGCGGGAACGTCAGACGTGTAGAAACACCCTATGGGAATCGACGATGTGTCAATGTCGGCGCCTCCTTGGTGTCTCTGGGGTTGTGCTGAGGCCATCTGGGGCTCCTTTGGGCCTACCTTGGGCCGTCCCGAAACACTCGTGGAGAGGCATGTCGCGCCTGGAAGCTTCTCTGGGCTGGATGAATCCGCCAGCATCTCCGTCACCCCTCCTCCAAACCCGCCGATCCAGGCTCCTGAGGGAGAGTTCGCGAAGAGGTAACTCGTTCACAAGCTGAGAACACCTTGAAAGGGGTGGCGAATGTCGACGCGTTGTGCTTTTTTGGGGGGCTCTCCTGGGTCGCCCTCGTGGCTACAGGACAGGTCCGGGAGGTCGAATTTTGACGGATGATGGTATCCTCGAAGAACGGGCGTGATTGAGGTGGAAGAGGGAGAAGGGCGGATCGAGGTTCGAGGACGGTAATTTTCGAGGGTGTGAAGCCAGAGAGGGGGTCTCTTCGCCATCGACGGGGAGGAGAGGAGGGGGATCGAAGATCCAGCTTTTGTTGGGCCTCGGCGCCCTTGTCGTCCTCGCTGGGTCCGCCTCGAGATTCCGAGGATGGAGACGGGAGAATGGAGAAGGGAAGACGGAGTTATGGATGGTGGGAGTGGCGGAGGGTAGATGTGGAGAGAAGGAGTGAAGAATCAGAGGGGACGAACAAGAGAGAGAGAGAGAGGGAGGAATAGAGGAGAGGACTTGTGAAGCATACCGGCATAGGGCATGAGTTGTTTACGCTTCTCGCTAAGTGATTGCAAGTATGCTGCTGCCAGTATGGTCGGCACAGCAACTCTGGCCGTTGGTCCGCGCCGTGCGCCCCTCCGCAGAGAGCCGCGCAAAATAGGCCTCGCCCCCTCCGTCGCCGATGCCGCCGTCGACGACTTGTCGCCGACGCCGCCGCCATCGCCGCCGTCGTCGTCGCCGACGCCACCGTCGTCGCTGCCATCTCCGTCGCCGCCGCCACCGTTGTCGTCGTTGTCGTCGTCTTCGTGGTCGTCGACAAACCTTCCACCCTTCCCTTCCTCCATCATCGTTCGGGCCGGACGAAAGTGGGGGTATGGAGACAGGGGGGCGCGAGGACTGGTGCATGCTTGGTCCCCGCCGCCGGGCGCCTCCCTGCCTCATACATTGGCACCTCCGGCGTCGGGAGGCACTGGAGAAGTCCGCGTCATGAGCTGGTTCTCCACACCCCCCTTTGCTAATGATCCTCCTGTCGTACGACCCGAGTCGTCCTCCTCATTCGCCATCCAGCTGCACGTGACTCCACCCACAAGCGGACATTGACTGCTGGAACGAGCGGTGGCCCAGCTATGCAGCGTGACCAGCCTGTCCGCCCGAAGGGGGAGAGCGGATCCTACGGTTTGATTCGCTGACGACATGTTCCATACGCGATGCATGCTTTTGGGGTGATCAAGAGCGTCGCTCTTCACATGTGTAAGGTATGCCCGAATCCTCTTGAGGGTTCGTCCTCGTTTTGAGCTGAGCACGTGTTGGTAATCCATCATCCCCTCCTCTCCTCCCGCCCTCTGTCCTCATCCTCCCTGGCTGCTGCGGGGCGTGCAGGCGCCGACACTTTCCTGCGCCCCTGGTGGGCCCAGTGGAGCGGCGGCATACGCGGATCCGAACCAGATCTGGCCTCTCTGGGTGCTACCGACCATAGTTGGTGGCCCGTGATTGTGTCCCTGGGTGATTATCCTCATCTGGTTCGCTGTCTGGCTGGCTGGTCTCTGTCCCCCACGCACCTCCAGAGACGGCGACGCCGATATTGTTGACGCCAGTGATGACGATGTCGACGAGGACAACTTTGACGGCGTTGACCCTGAGATCCGACGTTGCGAATAGCATGCAACATCGCCAAAAATCACGACCAGAGCCCGAGACCCCATTTTTCTGCTGCATCGTCCGAGCCGGATCGATCTGCGGGGTCTTGGGGCCTGAAGCCGGGCGAAAACGCCCTGTGTGCAAGAAGATGCAACGCTCGGATGTCAGGCGACGCCAACGGCAGCCGCCGTGCCACGCTCAGGGCTGACAGCATGCGGGGAGGGGTAACTGGCCCCGCCCCGCCCCCGCCAGCCTGAGGGCCAGGCGGCCACGCCGGGCAGGCGCGTTTGCGCGCGCGAGCTCGTGCTCTCGGCCTGCTGCTCGCCCTCGTCGCCTCCAGCGGCGCCCTGGCGGTGGCCGTCGCCGTTGTCGCCCGCCGTCATTTGGCATCGCGCGGACGAATTCTTTTTTCCTCGGCGCGGACCATCGAGGAGCATCTTGGATGATCTTGCGAAAGAAATCGTACGAGACCGGCCCCTGCACGGGGAATGGACGTCCGAGCGATGGCAAGGCTCGCCCACACCGCCGCCACCGCCGACACCGTTGCGGTGGCAGTCGCCGTCGTCGCCGTCATCCTCGTCTCGGCGGCGAAATCCCGACCCTACCCTCGCCGATCGACGATTCTGGCAGCTTGATGGGCGGCGGGGGTAGGGTTCGGAATTCGATGAACGCGTGACGAAGTCCGAGACCTGACCCCATCTCCCATCCATTCAGGCGAATTGACGGTTCGGAGGGGTAGAGTTCGGATGCCGTCATCTACCGTCGTCGCCGTCAGCCTTTGGCGACCTCAAAGGGTGTGGTTACGCCGGGGTTTGGTTTGCGATTTGCGTCGGTTGGGGCTGGCATGGCACTACGCTGTTGGCCACCTCGGGGCGCGGCGGAGAACCCTGTCGAGGTCCATGCAGGCCCCCCAAAGGTCCCACGGTGCGGGTTGCAAAACAGACCCTTCGTACACCACGCCTTTCGGAGTCGCCGAGTCTTGTGCCGGGATGCGCCGCTCTCTTTGTCTCTCTTTCTCATATTTTTTCCTCTCGCCCTGTCTCTCTCCCTCGCGCCACATCGGGGAGGGAACAGGTCGGGCGGGGCAAGGATTTGGGCTGAACCAGGCCCCGAGCGAATCAGAGGTGAATTGTGGTATGTTTTGGGTCGGGTCATATATTGGTGTTTGTTTTTGTCCTGCCCTGTCGGCCCGCGTTTATCGTCGCGTTGCGGGTTGCCTCTTCGATGCCGCGGCGCTTGGCATGGGTCCACTCAACTGGGCCCTGTGGTTGCGAGAGCCATGTTCGCGCGACTTTGGGGTGCTCGCGCGGGCGTCTCTCGAGGCCGCGTCTATGGTCATTCGGACGTTCAGCGTGGCACCCTGGAAGCCATTGACAAACATGTCGCGCGCGGAACGTGTGTGTTCTCGGAACCGCGCAAGTTGGTAGGATTAGGTTCCAAGGAGTCTGTCGCCCACTGGCCCAGGAGCAATGTTCCGTTGATTCGACGGCCCAGGAGCCTAGGATCTGTGGCTCCAGGGCGCTTGACTTTGCGGCCGTGAGGACCTCGGCCCACGGTGGTGCGGCCCACGGGTCGTGGGTTTTGCCTAGCACCACTACTTCTGGAATTCTTAATAGCAGTACTATGACCACCACCACCACTACCATTACCACTGCCATCGCGAGTACGCATGCGGTACCAATACCACTACCACTGTTGCTGCGAATGCTGTCGCTACCATGGTTATCACGATAGGTATTACTATTGGTATCGCCGTTGCAGCAATTATTTGTTTCAGATTATTGCTCTAGTACTAGTAGTAGTACGACTACTACTACTATTGCGATTGCTACTACTAATACTACTGTTACCTAATATTGCTGTTAGTACGGCCACGACCACGATTGCGATTAGCATTTGTATAACTACGATTTGTGCGACTACTGCTGCGATCGCGACGACGACGACGACTACTACGACTACTACTACACTACGACTACTACTACTACTACTACTACTACTACTACTACTACTACTACTACTACTACTACTACTACTACTACTACGTACTACTACTACTACTACTACTACCTACTACTACTACTACTACTACTACTACTACTACTGCTACTACTACTACCTACTACTACTACTACTACTACTACTACTACT